TAGGTAGTAGGCTATTTTGTGTCTTGCCATTCTATGCTTTTGGTTTAGGGTTTAGGGTCTTGGGCTTTGGGTTTTGGGTTTTGGGTTTAGGGTGACTGTGGTCGCCTTGCTGTGACTTGCATCTTCGTGCAGTTTGTGTCGTACGCTTTTGATTCTTCCGCTGAGCATGGCGACCCTGCGAAGGGTGGAGGTAAGACTGGAAGCAAGCCTGCGGGTGCAGCCGACGGTGACTCCGCCGGGGCGACCGCCCACCCACTCCTGCGGTGGTTCTGCCACCTCCGCGAGCGGCTGGGAAGGGTGCTGCGGCATCCGCGGCCGGTTCTCCTGGGCATCCCTGTCCGAGTCCTCCTTGGACTTCGGAAATGGAGACGCGGGCATTCTTCTTCCCCAGTATGATGGCGGCACAGTTCGAGAAGCTCAATCAAAAGGGGTTCTCCGAAGAGGACTCCTTTCGACTTCTCGACGAGACCTGGGCTCTTCTGGAGCCGGAAGGAATTCTCAAGCCTGGGAAACGCTGTTGACGAGAACGCTCTGTCCAGCTTCACAGAGGTTTACTCAATACTACCAACCAGTACGAGTGTAAACGTGCGAGCGTTGGCATTTTTCGGAAGCATTGCTCGTTGTCTTTTTGGTTCTCTTGAAGAGCCTGGCCCCTGTCTATCCGCTGTACTACTATTTGCTTCTAAACACTCAACAAATAGAAAGACAAAATCCGTACATTTCCCTTATAAGGAAGATTATCGTTTTATTTTTTTTTGGGGGGGGTTCCTAAACCTAAACCCTAAACCCTAAACCCTAAACCTTGATATAAAGTTGCTACAGATCTTCTCCCCGCCTGCCTAGCCTTCCCCACGTCGGGCGCAGAGCTCGGAGTTCGGGGTTGTTTTAAACACAGGGACTTGCACCGTATAGGGCATTAGGGCGACCCCCTAAACCACGAAAAACACGGAACTACGCAGCTCTTGTGGAGCAGGAGCCATGGGCGAGGGCCAGAGCGCGGAGTTTCAGGCACTCGGGCAGCGTTGGACAAGCTTTTGGGTTGAGTGTTTGGGATTCAGTTCCGTAGGGGCTGGGGTATATCAGGGGTATAAACCCTAAACCCTAAACCCTAAACCCTAAACCCTTTTAAGGGCCCATACGGAGGGGCCATGTAACTACCATAAGAGTCACGCACCATTTCTCACAACAGCAGCAACCAGAAGCCCCCTGAGTACCCCCACCCTGACCAGAAATCCGAATTCCCCAAATGGAAGCGTAGTTACGTAGTTCTTTTCTCACGATCAAACATTCATAGATCATGAGCACAGGGGAGCACACTGTGTTCTCCCCCCTTTCAGGGCTTAGGGCTTAGGGCTTAGGGCTTAGGGCTTAGGGCTTAGGGTTTAGGGTTTAGGGTTTAGGGTGGGAGGCTGTAGGGCTTAGTGGGGCTCGGCTAGGGGTTTGAGGTCGAGGATTGTTCTTGCTTAGGGACCCTTGCTGTCCCTCCCTACGAATGCCAGCAGCCTCATGAACAAAAGCCATGCTGGGCAGCGTGCTATCCGGTGATCCCCGTGCCCTAAGCCCTAAACCCTAAGCCCAAAACCCTAAACCCTAAACCCTAAACCCTCAACCCTAAACCCTAAACCCTAAACCGCGTTTTTCGGTAGTGCCCGAAACCCTCAACCCTAAACCCGAAACCCTAAACCCTAAACTCTAGAAGCTCTAAGTCCTCTACGGGTTTCAGACCAGCCCCAGGATGCCTATGCCAGAAGTGGCCTGGCGCAAAGCCACCTGGCACGGACAAAGGGACAGGATGTTGCTTTCGTGCTGAGGTGGAGGGCGAAGCCCCTGAAGTGCCTCAACATGGTTATAGGTACAGTTATAAGTACAGGTATACTTGGTTAAGAAGTACAATGAACCTCCAAGTAGACTATAAATCCTAAACCTTCAATTTTCGCCAGTCGCAGTTTTGTTACCGAAGACAACGGCGGCTGTAGGATGGAGGCCTGAGCAGCGGGGGCTTAAGTATCAGAGTTTCGGGTTTAGGGGGGTAGATCCAAAACCCTAAACCCTAAACCCTAAACCCTAAACCCCGAAACCCGAAACCCTCAACCCTAAACCCTAAACCCTAAACCCTAAACCCAAGTGAGGGTTCAGGGTCTGGGGCGTCAGGGTGAGTCTCGCACTCAAGGTGTCTCCCAATCGTCCAAGATCGACCCCGAACCACCAAACTTTCAACCCAGGCCTCAAGAGCGGTTGAGGGTTTAGGGTTTAGGAGTCTAGAGTCTAGGGGTTTAGGGTTTAGGGTGTAGGAGTTTAGAGTCCAGCGGTTTATGGTTTAGAAGTCTAGAGTCTAGGGGTTTAGGGTTTAGGGTTTAGGAGTTCAGAGTCTAGGGGTTTAGGGCTTTAGGGTTTAGGAGTTTGGAGCTAGGGGTTTAGCGCTTAGGGGGTGTAGGGGCCGTTTGCTGAGAGAGGCTGGATTCGGCTCTCTTGCCTGGTTACGCCAGGCTACTTGGAGGAGAAGCTTGCAGAGCGGAAGCAGGCCCGTCAGTACAGTCAGGGTTTAGGGTTTAGGGTTTAGGGGGTTTAGGGTTTAGGGTTTAGGGCTTCGGGAGCGGCTTTGTTCAGGACCTGTATTAGGCCCCCTAAACATCCTGGAAGCCCTGCGTAACCCTAAATTCAGTGGGGCGGGGGAGCTGACCCTGGCACTTAGTGGCTTACTGCCGACTTGCAACACCAGAGGGTTTAGGGGGTTTAGGTTTGGGGTTCGGGTTCTTAAGGGAGGGGGCTTCATGGGGGGGGGGGGGGGTGGGTGCCTAGGGAACCTTAGCAAAGTTTAGGGAGCCTTAGGGAGTAGTGGGGAGTATCAGTGGCAACCTTGGGTTACATACCCCCTTGAGCCTAAACCCTAAAGCCTGCACCCTAAACCCTCAACCCTATGAACCCCCCCTCCCTTTAAAAAACCCTATAAGTTGAGGGTTTGGGGACTAGGGTCTAAAGGGTTAAGGCCGCTGTGCTCCGGCGCCAGACGGATTTCTGGCACTTTGGGGGAACCCTCAGGCTTACTAGGGTTAAAGGGTTTAGGGTTTAGGGTTTCGGGTTTAGGGTTTAGGGTTTAGGGTTTAGGGTAGGGAATGGGTGCCTGCGCTCTCAAAAACTTATGTATGACCTTCTGAGATGTACGAGGCTTGGTCGGACGCGCCCACATCCAGACCCTGATTCCTGTTTCAGAGTTCCCCTTCAGGGGGTCGGGGTTTTTTCAACCCTAAACCCTAAACCCTAAACCCTAGACCCGAATCCTGGCTTTGTAGCTTCAGGGAAAGTTCGGCTGTGGGAGATATGTCGCAGCAAAAGCATCGATAGCCCCAATTTAGGGTTTAGGGCTTAGGGTTTAGGGTTTAGGGTTAAAGCAGCCCTAATGAAACCCTCACCCTAGACACCCTAAACCTTATAAACCCTAAACCCGAAAAACAAAACCGAAACCCTCTAGACCCGAAACCCTGCATCCGAGGTATGGTCCCTCACCCTTGTTTATAGGGATCCGAAGTATGGGCCCTTACTTTGTAGTGTACATCAGGGTTCTATAACAAGGGACCCAACTCATAGGCCTACACTTGGAACTCTAGACCATAAGCCCGAAATCCTAAACCCGAAGCCCTCAGCCCGAAACCCTAAACCCTAAGCTCAAACCCTAGCCCATACATCCTCATCCCTATAAATCCTTTAAACCCTATAGACCCTACAAGCCCTGCAAGCCCTGCCTACCCCACAAGCCCTACAAGCCCTACAAACCCTACAACCCCTACAAACCCTACAATCCCTAAACCCTATCAAGCCTACAAACCCTACTTGGAGGTTCATGGTACTTATGAGCCAATTATATCTGTACTTATAACACACTTACAAGCCCCATTAAGTGCCCTAATATGGTTATGAGTGCAGCTATAACTACAGCTTTCTTTCGTTAATAAGTTCCATGAACCTCCAAGTAGACCCTAAAACCTAAAGCCCCAGACCCTAGAACCTCCAAAACCCCTCAACCCTTTACAAGTGCAGTGAAAAGTGCCATGAACCTCCAAGAAAGAGGCTACCCTGAACCCTGAACCCTGAACCCTGAACCCTGAACCCTGAACCCTGAACCCTGAACCCTGAACCCTGAACCCTAAACCCTAAACCCTAAACCCTACACCCTAAACCCTAAACCCTCAAACCGACCGATCGCCTGTGTGGCCAGGCGTTGACCGCTGGTGGCATGCACCCAGAGGAGCTCAAGAAGCCCAGTGCCAGGGATGATAGGGTTTAGGGTTTAGGGTTTAGGGTTTGGGGTTTGGGGTTTGGGGTTTGGGGTTTGGGGTTTGGGGTTTAGGGTTTGGGGTTTAGGGTTTAGGGTTAAAAAGTTTAGGGTTAGGGTTTAGGGTTTTAAGGGTCATCATTTAGAGGGTATACCGGGTTTGGGGGTTTGTAGGGTTTTTAGGCCGGAGGGTTGTAGGGTTGAGGGGAGCTTTCCTCCCCCTTTGCAGCGCCACATGGAGTAGCATTGTTTTTTGTTCCGAGCATCCCCCCCAAAACAGGACAGCACTGGCGACAAGTCTATATGGTCAGTTCTCTAGATTGTGGCCCCTTTGGAGGATACAATTATACCCGAATATTTAGGGTACCCAAAAAGGGGCCATGATTTCGAGAAGTGACCAAAAGGAGCCTGGTATACCCTCACCAGTTGTAGCAATGTAGACTCCTTGCTTTCTAGACAATGGTCGTGATGAGTCAGAGCATTATACTTTGTCATAGTTGAGTAACATTTTGCATTTCTAAGGGCACTTAAAACCCAACAAGGAATAACAAACTAAATTTTTCATACTATCCCAACCATGAACAAGTATACTTGTTATCAGAGTGTTTCTTTTGAATACTATTCCCGCAACATTTCCCAGCTGATTCTTTGGGGTTTAGGGTTTGGGGTTTTGGGTTTGGGGTTTAGGATTTGGGGTTTAGGGTGAGGAGGGTCATAGCCGCCTCCAGCCATGTGGCTGGCGCCCGCACTGGTTCTGTGCTGCGTTGCGGCCGCGGCCGCCTGCGCGCCCTACGAGTACTACGACGCGGCAGCGCTGGCGAACGTCAGCGCGAGGTTTGGTGCCCCGTACACCATCCTTGCGAAGCCTTCGCCGTCTCTGTCGCTTGACGGGAACCATTTGGAGTTCACAGCCAGACTCCGCACATCGTGCGCACACGTCGCGCCCCAGTTTTCCATCTCTTCCGAGGCGCACCGGCTCGGAATGATTCTTGTGGCAGTCCGCGGCGAGGCGGCCTGCAGCAGCTTGCAGGGAACGGAGGTGGAGTGGACCGGGCGAGTGACTGTCCGAATTCCGAAGGCCGCTGGTGGAGTGCCGCGGCTGTTGGCCTTTCCCCCCGGCTCCGACTACGAGCTCTGGAAGATCGATCCCGTTGTGGCCAGGCCCCCGGTTTCAGCAGACCTGCGCCTCTATGTACCTATTTCCCTTGGGAATATTTTTTATTTTTGTTCATATACAACCCAAGAGGATATTTAAAAATATTTGTTTCTTAAGGTTCTAAGGGGAGCATAGGTACACCGAGCCCAGCCAAAGATCGACAACCCCAATGGGCCCTGCAGCACCATGCTGACCGTGGCACCCAGCACCAGCATGGTGGAGGTAATGGCCCTGGCCACACAGATCCTCGGCGTCCGCGTGGTGGCGCTAAGGGCAGAGGAGGACCCCAGCAGCGAGCTTCACACCCTAGCCGACCGGGCCAGTCTCCTGGCCTTTGAGGCCAAGACGCTGCCGGGAGCCGAGGCAAGACTTTCCCTCAGCATGGCGCCTGGGCCGCCTGCAAACGACCAGGTGGAGGAGCACAACTGCAGCAGTGATCCGGTGGAGGAGGTCCCGGTGCCGTACATCTTCAGCCAGCTGTGACCGCTGGCACCGGGCTGCAAAAAGTACTTGCCCACACCGCTGCGCGCACACGCTGCGACAAAAGAGCAAGACGGCTTGACTACGGTGGGCATGTGTCTTCTGCACCCGCTGAACTGTGCACTCAAGGGCCTGCGCACCAGAACGCTTCTGTTTTGCGTTTAGCCGGAGAATGCCGGAGATTATCATAATATTCAGCCCAATATGACCGAACCCTCGCGGATTCTTTGAATTATGGACCCTTTTCGTGTAATCCAGCGAAATCAATTGGCCCCCTGAAAAATAATTGGAGCCTCCCACATAACAGTTATCCCACCGAAACCAGGGTCTAGGGTCCGAGGGTTCAAGGGTTCAAACCCTTCAGACCTGTAACAACCTTGGGGACCAAATGAACCCTAAAAGGGTTTGTGGTTCATATGCCGTAACTGGAATTACAGTGGTGTAAGGTTATATGCCCCCCCAACTCTCAGTTCATTCGGTCCCCAAGGAAGGGTTTAGGGTTTAGGATTTAGGGTTTAGGGTTTAGGGTTTAGGTTTTAGGGATAAACAAGGGAGACCATGGCGGATCAGGAGTTTGCGGCTGCTTCGGGCGCTGCCCGGCTCGCTTTCTGACAGTAGTCCTCAGATTCACGCGCTTGGAGATGAAGGGGTTGAGGAGCTTGTTGAAAGGGGGTAGGGCGGTAGGGTTTAGGGTTTAGGGTTTAGGGTTCGGGTTTAGGGTTTTGGGTTTAGGGTTTAGGGTTAGGGTTTAGGGTTCAGGGTTCAGGGTGCAGGGTTCAGGGTTTAGGGTTTAGGGTTTAGGGTTTAGGGTGAGTTTTTCAACTCCACAGCTTGTACGGACGACACTATTCCTGATGGGAGGTGACCCGGCAGACCCCCAGCTCTGCGAGCCAGCATCTCAGGACAAGTAATCTACTTGGTTAGGGTTTAGGGTTTAGGATTTAGGGTTTACGGTTTGGGGTTTGGGGTTTAGGGTTTAGGGCTCAGGTTTTCAGGTTCGGGTGTACATTGGTACCCTTCTGCCCATTTTTGGGGGCTCAAGGTTCCCTTATCAGGTAGTAAGTAGGCAACCCCAAAAAGGGTGCCCTTTCCATGATATTCTGGTGCCTTTCATATAGAATGGGAATTTTGGGTTTTTTCGTTTTCACTAAGACCCCGTACTACATATGTGGGTACTTTCAAAAAAATGGGGGGTACCCTTACTATACCCCAAACTAGTACGATCCTTATGATGGGACCCCCCAAAAGGGTATATACCCCTATAGTCGGAAACCCCCCCCATATCACGACTGTAAACTTCAGAGGGTGGTCAGCCCTCCAGACTTCCGCCCTGCACCGAAGAAACTCCTAAACCCTAAACCCTAAACCCTAAACCCTAAACCCTAAACCCTAAACCCTAAACCCTAAACCCTGAAGCCTGGACCCACTAGACCCGAATCCAAGGCCGGCCCTGCTGTCCCAGCTTGTCCTGCTTCTGGGCGCGTCTCTCCCTCAGTCGTTTCGAACCCCTCAACCCCCAACCCCCAAACCATAAACCCTAAACCCTTAAACCCTAAACCCTAACCCTAAACCCTAAACCCTAAACCCTAAACCCTAAACCCTAAACCTAGGTCGCCCAGTAACCTAGGCGTTATCATAATATGGTTACTGGGCTACCATGAAACCTAGGTTGCCCAGTAACCTGGGATTAAGCAGGAAACCCTTTTTGTTAAAAAGGGGCTCATAAGGGCACCGAAACCCCCCAAAAAAGGGGAACAAGGGTACTACTGGGCATCCTAGAAACCCTAAACCCCCTTCCCGTGAAAAGCCCAAGCCCAAGCACAATCCCAGGCGGCTCACTACCCATGAAGTTTCTCAGACAGCAGCGACTCCCCTGTGCCTCAATCAACGTGGTGTTCAACCCAGGGCTGATTGGAGAAAGGGTTTAGGGTTTAGGGTTTAGGGTTTAGGGTTTAGGGTTTAGGGTTTAGGGTTTAGGGTTTCTACATTCCCGAGTTCGCTGGCACTCGATCACTTTGAAGAAGTAGCACTGTGCGAGACCTCCAAGACCGCAAGAGCTTTTTAGGGTTAGGTTTAGGGTTTAGGCTTTACATTTGGGGCAACAGCATGGAACCTTCCCTCTGTGCTCAGGCGCCCTCGTCGTTCCCTGCTGCTTTCCGATTTGGGTGCACTCCTCCCATCGTCGCAGCCTTAGTGGCATGTCGAACCCCAAACCCCAAACCCTAAACCCTAAACCCTAAACCCTAAACCCTAAACCCTGATGAGATCGCCAGGGCAAGTCGCAAGACCCTAAACCCTAAACCCGCTCTACATCTAGGACCCGGAGAACGCCCTTATTTCTTTTGTTTTGGGTTGGGCTTCCCTTATATTCCCCTTAAACCCAACAGGGCACCCTTTTTGTTCCTGGGTTACTGCTGGGTCTAGATAATATGTAGACTTAAACCATTTAAGGTTTTCGGTCCCTCTCGGTACCAATGCTATTGGATTTTCGGTCCCTCCGGACATATGTTCCCTCCGGGATGAAGGTGATTAGCTTGCGGTCCCTCCGGGACCAATGTTATTAGTTTTTCGGCCCCTCCAGAACCAATGTTATTAGCTAGTCGGTCCCTCCCAATGCTATTTGCTTTTCGGTCCCTCCGGGATCAGTGCTATTGGCCTTTCGGTCCCTTCGGGACCAATGCTATTCGCCATGTGGCCCGTCTGGGGCTGGGGTGGGACCAAGATTATCAGCCATTTGGTCCCTGTGGGGGGCCTTGCATTGCTTTTGTTGAAGGAATAGTGAGCAACTGAAGCGTAGCGGGTTAATGAAGACCACCCTCTAAGACCTCAACGCCTCCAAGCCACTGCAAGTAACCAGGTCCAGTGGGCACCCAGAGATCTATCTTTGCCATCCCATAAGGACACCCCCCAAATGTACACACGCACCAAATATTAAAAAGGCATTCTATACGTACATATATGTATACCCATAAATATATAAATATACAAATACAATATATATATATATATACATATACACACACACTAATATATGCGCCCTCACCCTCTGAGGACCTATAGACTCTATAACTAACCCTCCTGGGCCCGCCTATAAACTCCATCGACCCCAAACCGGGTTCAGAGTAAGAGCGGCAACGAAAGAACACACAAGCATTCGCGGTTCGGCCCTCTTTTCCCTGAATCCCAGAAAAAACAGATCCCACGTCTTGGGGTTGAGGGTTTGGGCTAGGGTTTAAATCCTAAACCCTACACTCTAAGATGGGTATTCAGCCAGTTCAGGGAGGGCCATCAGTTTTGCCTCCTTCACAAGCCACGCATTGTGGGGGCTTAGGGTTCAAGGTTATGGCTGCGGCTTATTTGCGTTCAGGGCTCAGGGCTCTAAATCCTCTCTGCCTCGGGGACCAAAGGAACCCCCTAAAAAGGGGTTATGGTTCGTATGCCTTGATAGGAGTTATAGTCGTACACGGATACAGGTACATGACCCCAATTTTAGGGTTCATGTGGTCCCCGGGGTTCTCGGGTTCTCACCCTAAACCCTAAACCCTAAACCCTAAACCCTAAACCCTAAACCCACGATCCCACGAACCCACGAACCCACGAACCCACGCACCCACGAACCCACGAACCCCAGTCGCCTTGCAGGAATCTGCGTCAAGGTGTCAAGGAGAAGGGTGGCCTGAGGAGCAGCTCTCTGGGTTTGGGGTTTAGCCGTTGGGGTTTAGGGTTTAGGGTTTAGGGTTTAGGGTTAGGGTTTGGGGTTTAGGGTTTAGGAGTTTAAGGTTTAGGATTTCAGGCCTGGGGTCTTAGGGGGGGAGGGTTCCTTATGACCCGGCTGCAGCCTTAGAGAGCTCAGCGCTTTAGCACGGGGCGCCCTCAACCAAAGAGAGCCCAAGCCCCAACCTAGGCTTTTAGGGTTTAGGGTTTAGGGTTTAGGGTTTAGGGTTTAAAGGTTTAGGGTTTAGGGTTTCATGGTTTAGGGTTTAGGCTTGAAATAGCTTTTGAGTTTTGGGAGATTACCTGGACCCCCTAAGTATGCAAAAACATTGGCCCAAAACCCGTAGAAAGGTATCATTATTCTACATACTTTGGGGGTTAAGTAAGGCAGGGCTTCGGGGGGGTTCTAGGTTGTGGGAATTCTGGGGCACAGGGCATGGTAGGGCACGGGGCTTTAGGGTTTTTTGGGCTTCAAGATTCGAGTTGGGTTCGTTTAGGGTTTAGGGTTGAGGGTTGAGCCTAAACCCTAAACCCTAAACCCCAAACCCTAAACCCTAAACCCTAAACCTCAAAACCTTGGCCCAGGGTTTGGGGTTTCCGGGCGGTGGAAAGGGATTTGGTTGCCCCCACCGAGCTGCTCGACGCTGATGCGCCTGGCACTTCCTTCCCCGCCCCCCCCCCCCCCCCCCCCCCCACCTACTTGGAGGTTCATGGTATTCATTCACCAGTTAGAACTGTACTTCTAACCCACTTATAAGCCCCTTAAGTGCCCGAATATGGTGATACGTACAGTTCTAAGTACAGTAAGGATTGGCTGAAAACAGCACCATGAACCTCCAAGTAGAGTTCTCCTATGGGTGTTTGCGATATTCGGGGTACCTTCTCGGGGCTCCTGATTAACAGTAAACACATCTTGCTGCTTCTTCTTGGGAGCCTCAAGGCCAACAACAAAACCGAACAACATCGGGGCATCATGCAGAGCAAGGCTACCAATGGAACCCGGAAACCACCAGGCTGTTAGGGTTTAGGGTTTAGGGTTTAGGGTTTAGGGTTTAGGGTTTAGGGTTTAGGGTTTAGGGTTTAGGGTTTAGGGTTTAGGGCCGTAAACCACCCAGCTGCTGTCTGCCCATACACTTGCGATCGTCGCCGCTGCGCGCGCAAGTTCTCAAACCTCCAACAATGGTGGGCATCGGAAATCACAAGAAAATTTGTGGTTTCGGGTTTAGGCTGGATCCGGTTCGTCTAGAAGCTTAAGGGCTGAAAAGGGGCCTAGGGTTTCAGAAATGAAA